ACGCGCACCGCGAGCACGACCTGCATATCGCATTTCAGCAGAGGGAAGTCCAGGCGGCGCAACGTCCCAAATACAGCGTTTGTCATGACTTGTAAAAGTAATAAATAGGGGGACGCGAGCATAACAAGTGTGACGCAACAAATGTTGCATTTTGTTCCATTTCAGATACGTTTGCATGAATACGAGCGTAACTTTTAAATAAAAGTTCCGGTAGGCGAGACAGCCACACTCCTGGCATTTGGTATTTCTGCCGGTTTTTTACTACTTCTCGACACGTACACGGCGTATACAAGTCAAAGTAGTAAAAAAGTAGTAAAAAGTAGTAAAAACCACGCCGAAATGTTCGATGTTCGAGACTGCCGCACCGGCCGGGCCGCGCAGGAGGACCTGTAGGCTTGGACTGGGCTGGGGTCACCGGCGGCGGGGGAGGGGTTTCTTATTGCCCCAATGCAGGCCGTCATAGAGGCTGATGACTGCGCTCATGTCTGCCGCCGGCGCTGCTGCTGGGAAGCGGACCGCCGCGAGAGGAGCGGGCGGGGGAGGGCCCCCCCTGTGGTCATGATGACATGACGCGAGTTAGTTGCGCACACGGGAGAGAACGATACTGCCAATAGCGTTAATGGCGTTAACGTCAAGCCCGGTGATGGACGCCGCCTCCGGGCCGGGAGGAGGTGGCCGCCGTGTCGTGCAGCCGCCGCCGCAGCTCGAGCGCGCCGGAAGTAACCGGGAGGGGATCGGGTTGCTCCCGAGGGGTAACTTCACTCGAAAGGAAAATCAGGGTACGACCTCAAAAAATACAACAGGAAAAAAATAAGAAAAAAAAATCGAGAATCAGAAAAAAAGGTCAGTAAAAAATAAAATAAGAAAAACTAGAAAAACTAGAAAGAGATCAGAACAAAATTAGAGAGTTCAGGAAAATAAATAAGAAAAAATCAGAAAACATCACAGGAAATCAGACAAAAACAAGAAATAGTCAGGAAAGAACAGAAAAATCAGTATACGCTGCTTGAATGTATAGTAAAGGACCCCTCGGTTACTCTGATACTCTGACGGCCAGGAGGGAGAGAGGGGCCACAGCCTCGCCCAAAGCCCAAAGCCGGTCGCGGGCCCCGCGGTTGACAAAGAGCACGAGCCTCGTGCGTAAGTGCCCCATGAGAAGGGCGGCGGTCCCCGCCGAGGTCCCCGCCATGGGACAGGAGGACCGCACAGCGCACAGCCCAAGCCTCAAGGACGCCGGTGCAAGGCCCAAACAAGGCCAAACGCACACACGCCAAAAGGGGAGATACATTGATTGGAGAGGAGAGCCAATCGAAATTCGCTGCAGTGGCTAAAATAACTCACTGGCGAAAAGTGAAAAGGGCGCAAGTCCTGGACTTACGGCCTTTTCACTAGTGAACTGACAAATGTCAGAGAGGACCAACAGTTGCTTTGCTAGAACGAAGCCGCTGCTGCCGGCGCGGCAAGACAGCCCAATAAACCGGCCATTATGACACACGTTACCAGCATAGCGGGGAGGGGCGAGTGAGTGGCGCTGCGCGCTGCATCCAGCCTCAGCCACTCTCTGAGCGGAGCTGCTGAGCCCCCGCGGCGCTCCGCACGCGCTCCGGATCCTGTTCCGGTCAAACGCGCGCGCCGTGCCCGTGTGTCACCAACCAGTCACCAGACCAGTCCTTCCCTCGGCCAGCAGAATAGGGCGTACACCACCACCACCAAGAAAAAAAATAATGTGAGTGGCATTTCAATCGCTTAAGGTGTGCATTGCGACAAGTCACTCGGTCACTAGAACGGAAGAGTATTGAGTTGACTCGGCGGCACGCGCTCATACGCTTCAGTAGTATCAGATTTAATTAATGATCGAGTGACACTCCGTGCTATAAGCGGACGTCGGAAAATAGAGAAGTCGTCTGAACTAACAAATTAGCTAATAAGTTGTGGCGACTAATGATGTTTTTTCCGTGCTCGCCCTCGCCACCACCTCGCGCTGCGACTGGCAGAGTGGCACACTCATCCTCTCGCGTTGCTCCATCTTCCTCCCACGACTCACCGGAAGCAGTCGGAGGGGGGGGCAGGAGCACAGCGGACGATGGGAAAATGCGCGCATTTGAGCTTGTAGGGGCACAACGATATATTCCAATATCGGGCAGGACGACCGACGACGGTGGTTGGCATAGGCAGAGCTACACTACTAGTAGAGCCGCGCGCGGGGAGACGGTCGGTGGCGAAGAACATCCTCAGGCACGCGGACGCGACGACGCGGTAGTTTGAAGAGAAGCAAAACCACTTCATTTTCCTCTCCACCAATCATTTACCTGGCCCGATTGCAAGGGCGAGTGTAACAACAGTCGCGTTCGCGTTTGCTATTCAAACGTGTTGTTCATTGTTTGAGTGTTTAGGTCTCTCTCTCACCTCGCGGGTCGTAACTTGGCCGAGGGGGTGGGGGTGGCTTTAGTTGCCACCAACAGAGGCGGTGTGTGTGGTGGTCGCAAGCGACTCTGCTGATGAAAGGCGAGGGAAAAAGGCGACGAGTTCACATACGCACGTTGTGCATATATGGGGCGAGCAGTGCGCCGGAGATAAACACAACACTCACACACATTCAAGCATGCAAAGCGTATTGCGACCGACGGTCACCACCAAAGAGAGCGGGGGGAAAAGGGGAAAAGAGGGGGGGGGGTGGACACTGGAGCGCCCAGTAGCGTTCAACCGCTTGCCCGTTTAAAGAGAGAGACGCAGGCCGATGCGGCCGATCCCTCATTCATGCACAGATTTCACTCACATTTTCAGCTGAAAGGCCGTCTTGAACAGTTGGGTGCGCCTCGTGGACCGCCGGGGGTCGGATGACGGACAGGAACAGCGAGCAGCAACGATATTGGTATGTAGACCGGAAAGGGAAAAGAAAAACATCTTTACAATATCATTTCAAAACATAAACTAAAAACAAAAATGGTTCAAAACTCTCACCAGTAATTAATACCCTGGAATCATCAAAAGAGTTTTATCCCCATAAAAATGTCCTGAAAAAAATTTATTTAAATATTTTAAAAATACAATCGTAAAGCCTAAACTTAGAAATCAAACAAGTAAAAACCCTTACCAGTAAATAATACTCTAGAATCTACCAAAGAGTTTTATCCTCGTAAAAGTGTTCCTGTTAAGCACTTATGCTCTCTTTAGTGTCTGTGTTGTGTAATGGGCTGAGTTCCAACTATACTGAAAGGTACTGTAATGTACTATACAATATGACAAAACAAAATTTCAGGTCCAAAAAGTATTTAAAACACTTTGCTGCCAATCTAACAGAAGTTACTCTAAAAAAAACAATGAAATGGACAATCACAAAATATGCAAACTAACTCAACCAAAAATGTGTTGCCTTCACTTAGTAGTATATACACAAACTAATTTATAATTTCAACAGTGCCTCAAATGTTACTTTTGTTTCTATTGCGCTTGAGTAGCTTGAGTTCATTCCTACAGACTGCCATTGTGTAATGTGATTCGACGTTGGTAAAACACTGTAGAACATGCTACAAACGCAAGTGCTGATTGAATTTTTATAAATAAAAACAAGAAACAATGGGTTTATCTGTTCTGTTTCACAATATTTTATTGTATTGATGACAGTTCAGGAAATTAGATAATCTGCTGGTTGACACAGTTATTCAGGCTTTCTGATGTAGAATGCCTTACTGTTCTTCTGCTCTACTGTACAAAACTGAGCAATAACACATCTTTCATAACTTCAAATACACAACAAAAATCTAGAATGATAATGTAAACAGTTTTAAGTTGTGTACCTAAAACTATCAAAACAAATGTAAAAATTAATAAAAAATAATATACAATATTACAACATCCATATTGGTGGATGAAACTCTTACATTGCTTTAATTTGTCAAGTTACGTTACTAGAAGCAGGAAAAGATATACAGCAAATTTGTTATGGAAGACTGAAAAAATTATTTAAGAAAAAATAGGAGCATATGACTTTACAATCTGAAAACACAAAAAGTAAGTTCTTCAAGTCAGTAAGTAAACAGAAAAGCATACTTCACATTAACATTTACATCCTTATAATTAACTTTGTAAAATTAAAATTATCACATATCATGAAGTACACTTTTGGTAATCCTGAAATCTCCACAAGTCAACAGGAAGTCAGTAAGGGAAACAAATCAAGGAAAAGTGAAACAATTTACACTGCACTCTTCTTAGCAATTTCTAATCACAGTCCACTTTCAGAATCAGTCGTCTTCTTAGATACTATAAAGTATAGCACAAGCGCAGACCCCATCCTCAATTATTTTACAAACAGTTCAACTATGACTTCCTATACTAGAAAATAGAATTGCCCAATCTCTTTCACACATAGTCACAGCCTTGCAACAAGATTCAAATGGGTAACAAATGACATAGTACGATTAAAAAAATTATGGAACGTGTAAGAAAACAAGAAAAATAATCATTTTTTGCAGTACAAACTACTTATTCTGAAGAAAACAACACCACAAGCAGTGTAGTAGCTGTTCAGTTCAGAAAATGACAAGACCCACACAAGAGACAACTAGGGAGGTGCAGGGAGCTAGGACGGCACACCATTCTCCTCCGAGTGGTTGTTTGACACGGAGCTCACGAGGGCCGCAAGGGCAGCGAGGGCGTTGGGGGGTGAGGGTCCGCCGTTGGCCGCGGGTCCGCCGTTGGCCGCTGGTCTCCCGTTCGCGGCTGCAGGGGTCGCTGGGCCCGCGACGGCCGCCGAGGTCGCGGGGGCGGCAGGAGCCGCGGGGGCGCCCAGGCCGTTGACCTTCCCCAGGTTGACCCACGGCTTGCTCGGGTTGCCGATGCGCCTGAAGTGCTCCTCCCGCGCCATCTTGCCCGCCTTGCCGCGGCCGCTGAGGTCCTTGTCGAAGCCCCGGTTGATGAGCAGGTCGACGGCGCCCGCCACGTCCACCGTGGACGGGCCGAAGCCCTTGAAGCCGCCCTGCTTGGCGAAGAAGGCCGTGAGCGCGCGGAAGCGCTCCCGCTGCTGGCGCCGCCGCTTGAGCGCGATCATGGACCGGAAGGCCTGGTTGGCGTCGGCGCCCGCCAGCCCGTGGTTGCCGTACAGGTGCCTCTTGAGGTGGTTGGACTGCCGGAACTGCTGGTCGCACAGCCGGCAGCAGTAGGGCCGCTCGCCCGTGTGCGTGCGCATGTGCACGCCCACCTGGTGGCTGAAGCGGAACGTCTTGGTGCACCACTTGCACTTGTAGCGCTTCCAGCTGGCGGGGAAGGCGTCGCCGACGGCCACTCCCCCCATCATATTCTCCATCATCGCCTCCCGATCCCCGTCAGCGTCGCCGTCAACATCATCCTCGAAGTCGTCGTCGACGTCTTCTTCTCCGTCATCGTCGAGCCCGACGGCGTCCTTGAAGATGTCGTCGTGATAGTCGTCGTCGTCGAACGCCGCAGCGTGATCGCCGAACTCGTCGTCGGAGTGCGGCTCGGGGGGCTCCATCTTGAGGATGAAGGCGGGGTTGGCGTAGGCGAGCGCGGCGCGCGGGATGGTGCTGGGCGGCTTGCTCGGGGTGGTGCTGCCGCCGCCGCCGCCACCGTTGCGCGCGCGCTTGGGCGCCGGGCTGGGGGCGGCGGGGCTGGGGGCGGCGCGGGGGCGGGTCGCGGCCAGCCCTCTCTTTGACGGGGACATGACGTGCGACCGGATGTGTATCATGAGACGCACGCTGTGCTTGTAGCGCTGCCCGCACGTGTGGCACTGGAACGGCTTGTCCACGCCGGGGTGGGTCTTGACGTGCGCCGTGAGGTGCCGCAGCAGCGGGAACGTCCGCGAGCACGCGGCGCACTGGTACACCGAGTCCTTGTCCACGACGGGGCCGTCGCCGCCGGCCGCGGCGCACGTCTCGCAGGACGCGTGGTGCCGGTCCGACGACCAGGTGCGGTCGCAGCGCTGGCACTTGTAGAACACCTCGGCGCAGTTGTTGTTGGTGTGGCGGACCAGGTACTCGGCCAGCGTGAACGACTTCCAGCACTGCATGCAGCGGTAGGGCTGCGCGCGCAGGTGCAGCGCCAGCATGTGGTCCCGGTAGCCCATGACCCCCATGACGGCCACCCCGCAGATGGGGCACTCCCTCCACCCCGGGCGCAGGGCCTTGCCGTTGACGGGCGCGGCCGCGACTGGCGGGGGCGCGGCCTCCGACGTGGCCGACGACTCCGGGCTGGACGGCGGCTCGGACTTGACGGCATCCGGCGTGTGCGCGGGCGGCTCGGGGGTGACGCCCAGGGAAGAGTCGTCGTCGTCGAGCTCCACGTCAATCTCCTCATCCTCGCCGTCCACTTCCTGTTCGAGGTGCACGTTAGTGGCGGCTGGGAACTCTGACAGTTTAGCCACCTCGCAGTCCGAAAGGCCCCCGTCGTCCATGTCGCTGAGCATCTCGTCCACCTCCACCTTGACGTTCACCTCGTAGTTGTGGTCCGTGAGGGGGTTCATGGCGTCAGGGCGCGTCTCCACGATGACGTCCTCCTCGGAGGGGATTTCAACGACGTTGGCCGGAGGGCGGTCCGTCGGCGACTCATCAAGCAGCGGCGGCGGGGACCCTAGCACAGACCGGGCGTCTCCACCGAGCACCACGACGGCGACATCCGGGGCGTCGGGGTCCACCACCTCCACGGCGTTGCGGTCCAGCTTGGCTCGTGAGCGCGGCCCCGGGCGCGACGCAGAGCGCGGGCCAGGACGAGGGCTGTGGCGCGGACCAGGGTCCTTACCGTTCAGACTCCGGCGCATGATGCTCACAACGTCCTGGTTGAAGATGTTGACGGAGACGCGGTCGATCTGCGCGTCCAGTGCACCGCTCCTCGGGGATTTGGAACTCCTAACCACCTCCATTCCAGTTATCTGTTGAAAGACAAAAGGTCTTATTAATGGCATTAATGGCACGGGTTTACTGGCCAAATCAAAAGAGTTGAATCTGAAAGGAGAAAGGGGTGAGCGAGGGGGCGCTGCCATCGAAAATCAATGTACAAAGCCAAAAAAAATAACAAAAAATCAGGGCTCCATAACTTATTATAACACAAACGAATGTTAGTTATTCAATGTGACAAAACACATGTCAAATTAAAAGTTAAAGTTATGTATTTTAAAATATTCCCTAAACTAGTTATATCTCGAGTTATATCCAATGTGGATAAAAGTTGGACAAGTCAAATAACTAACTTATTTCCAAAGGACTACGACAAAAGTTACAAGTTATAACTTTAACTCTTAAAATAATGTTAAAGACAGTTAAGTAATAAGTTACAGAGCCCTGCAAAAAATTAAACAATCAAAAACAAAATCAGAAAGGGGAGGAGGGAGGATAAAATAATAGGTGCTTCTAGTCAAACTTCTAAGCCAACACATCAGCATTCAAATAAAGTGCCTTTAAAATGTTTACAACATTTCGAATTTTAAATATTTCCTGTGTACCTGAGCATACTTTTAAAATAATTGTTGTCTAGTACCCGAACTTTACCTCGAGGTTGTGTATAGAGCCGGACAGTTTTTAAAACTTGCAAGATTACGACGGCGCGGCGCAGGCATTCAAATCTGCCGTCAAGTGGCGGGAGGGATCTGCTGCCAACTGCTGCCAACTGCCCGACACCAAAGAGTGAGTGTAAACAAGGATGACAGAAGGGCTTCGGGAAACCACACTCGATTTTTCAAAGAATGCGAACAAATTCATGAGCAAATTACAATTTAGGAATCTATTTGAATGATACTCCATTCAGTATTTAAAATATTGCTTCACTTCACGCAATATTATTTACCTATTTACTCAGCCGAATAAAACATTTTGCATTTGAGACAAATACTACACCTACGACTGCGCACATCACGTTAATTAATGGGCAATTTTCGAAAGGATGAAGAATGGAAAATGTGATCAACGAGAGTCCACAGGAGAAAAATAATAAATAATAAAAACGGCGGCTCTGTGCGTCGGGACAAGCTGTTGTGGTTTATAGGTTATGTTGCCCATGGTCCCGCTGCCTCACTTTGACTTTAAAAAGCACAGAGTCGGTTGTGATATAGACAATTGTTTAAAACTCGCACTACTTACAGGTATTTAAATAATCAAATCGTTGTCGGGTACTCCCGACCCGTTTCAGAACTCCACAGGGCGAACGACAAAAGTGCGTTCACAACACAGTTTGTAAGAATCCGCAGTTTTCTTCCAGCTCACTTTTCTATCTCTCGACAATCTCATCTTGAGTGTCCACGACTTTCGACAAAAATTGTTCCGCACAAGGATTTTTATCACTCCGGGCAAGTCGAACGGCTGACGCAAATTTCCACGAGAAAAACAAAGATTCCGAGCGGGTCGAGGCATGCGGCGGTGCGGCGAGCGCGCCCGGCCGACCCGACGGCCTGGAGTAGACTGAGGAGGGGAGGGGAGGGGGAAGTGAGGGGAGGGGGGAGGAGGAGAGGAGGCTGAGGGGAGGCAGGGTGCGGGGGGGACGCACGAGGACGAGGCACAAGTGCACGAGGGGAGGGCGCGCCGCGCGCAGTATCAGAATTTTAAATAGCCATGTTTCGTTGTGATTGATAAGAAGTCAGTCTAGGACGGCTCTAAAACTATTCTGGCGAGCTACCCTAGGATCCCCAGCCCCAGCGGCCAGCGGGAAGCGTTTGAATCTTTAGTTTTGGTCGCGACGCAGGCGGCGCCGGCGGCGCTTCGCGGGAATGCGCTGGCTAAGTCGCGCGCTCCGCTGCTGTGGGAGACGTGTAAAGGAGGGACCAGGAGGGACAGAACGGCCCTGCTGCCACCGTTGCGCAATACGCGCATTGGTCCCAACGGGCCGCGGGCCCCCGAGTGGATCCCAGAGGGCCCCGGGGGGTCCCGGGTGGAACCCGGAGCGCACGCCCGGTGGTCACCAGCTGGTCGCCGAGGGAGCCCGTCCAGCCCGGACAGGACAGGGAACCCGTCGCGCTGTTACGCCCGGGCGGCCCGGCGCGGCGGCGGCGCCCTACAGACCTGCAGGCGCCCCTGCCTGCTGCCGGACCACCGACAGGTCACCGACAGGTTCCGTTACCGTGCGCCTTTGCTCTCCCCCTCGGCAGAGTGATTTGTTGCCGAGGCTTCCACTAGGAAGTAGTGTCTCGGCGCGCTGACCCATACACTACTATACATTCACAACCAACGCCATGAGACAACGACGGATAAAAAAACTGTCCTGTAATTTCAAACCACGCGGGGTCTCAAATTCCACACGTGCAAATCATGTCGCAATAATGTCGTACACAGCAGGCCGACGGCGCTGGCGCCCGCCCCAAATAATGAGATTGCAGCAGATTACACACACACACTCACATTGCCGACGGCGACCTCAAAAGACGCTTCGCGACCCAGACGCCCAAACACAATACACATACGATTTGGACACACGTGTCGTGGTGTATGCGACGCGGACGTTGCGACAAAGAAATAAAATAATCGCACCGTAAAGGTAATGTCCAGTTGTGTCCGCACGAGAGGGCGCCGCCGCCGTGGAGGAGGTGGCGGGCGGGCGGCGGCGGCGGTGGC